TCTATTCGTTGCTCTTTATTCTATTCTCTTGTTTTATTATTCTATGTGCTGTACATAACCGCCAATTCGAATACATACGTGCTGGTTGTTACGCTTCGCTGAGGATTTATAGAAACTTAATTCTCACAATTTTACTTGTTTCTTGTCAGTACACCACAATAATTCATAGTTGCATTTTCTTTAATGATGAATTGCAAAGAACCACCTGTGTATGTACGGATAATGAATAGGGAGACTCACCAGAAAAAATATGCCACTCATCCAAGCACTGTAAATAGAACACCGTAAAAGTAGGATTGCAAGTTTTAGCATTGCTGGTGTCAGATGATTGCTGATGTTGCTTGCTTGATGCCCAAAAATATGAGTTGGATACTTTGCCCGGTCGAATTTCGACTGCATTTTTCCTTTTGCCCATTTGCCTCACTTCTAAAACCACATTTTCTCTTATGCGCACATCCGCATTGCGTCTCATTCTTACCGGACGCAAGCAGGCTGTCTTTTAGCGCAATCTGAATGAGCCATCTGCTACTGTATGCTTGACTTTGAAACTTCGTTTGCGCTGCCATTCACTGGTCACATTATATCACATCCAAATTTTCGCCGGGTGGCTGTTGTATCAAATTTAGTTTATGCGCTACTATATTACATTATGCTATGCTATTCTATAATATACTATTGTTGATTCCTTTCTTCTATTTTTTATGTTGTACAACTCGATTCCCCCTTTTTTGTTATTTTGGTCTATGCCTGTACCACCCTTGTTGTTTTTGACCTGAACATAAACCGTTCTTTGACCTTGTCATCGGACGTGCCTTTTAAGTTCACATGTGGTTTCGCTAGCTTGTAAACACGTGGCTCCGAGTCGGCGTAGACTTTGAGACCCGTTAGGAATTAGCAGTTCCTAAACCGGTGTACAGAAGCCGGCATAGTCCAACGATTTGAGGTTTGTAAAGCTTTATCATTTTATTATTGTACTTATAGTACCGCATTTGTAGATAAACCTCCATTTGAAAGAATCGGCTTTTGGGGTTTTGAGCGTAACTCGACGTGGTCCAACAGATTGCTGGAATCAATCTATAACTATACTATGCATGCTGAGTATAACAAGATTCAGATACATCTTTTTGAATGTGTCAGATCTAGTGGCACTGCATGACCACTAAGTGGCTCGACTTTAATTCGCTCAGTTGCTGCTGACCATTTCTAATTTAGGAATGCAACTATAAGCGCTTGAACATGGTCTAACATGTGTATACAGGTCTTGATATCAGGCTTACCCAACGATCTAAGATTGACTTTGAGGGGTGGCATGGATGTGTACACTACAATGCTTACCATCAACCGGTATTCCTTACTCGCAGAAAGCCTATGCTTGCACTGTGTGAACAGGTCGCGTAACTACTATCCCTTGCTCCCTGCGGTAAGCGAAGGTACAAGTGGATGTTATCTAGAGTGTCATTGCGAAGAAGTTTACCTGGAAGTGTGTGTATGGCAGCTCAAACATCTCTGTTGCCACCCATCACCTTCTCCTGTTCAAACTAAATCTATCATCCCGAGCAATCTGAAAAGGGCAAAATCAACCTCATTCTTTTCGAAGCAACTTTCTTATTGGTGACGTTGCCGAATAAGACTTGCTCAGGGGCGTCAATTCGTTGCTGGTCGGATTACCGAGCATAGCAACTAAGTTGTAGAAGTTTCATCTGCAGTTTACTAGATATCGTCAATGCATGTTTGGGTAGGTAAATCCTCTTCTGCCTGCGTTCATGTAGTTAATAAACAGTATCTGCAAACTCCCGCGCGATTGAATACTGGCGGGGTGGCCTTCGTGTAAGTTGATTGATAAGGTTTGAAAGTCGAGTTGCGGTTTCTCTCATTTCTCTGCATCTGACTGGGTCGATGAATGCTTTTTTTGGCAGTTCCTCATCTCCATTGTAGTAAATTTGTTTATTTCTTACTTTGTGACCTAGCTCTCTTATACTTTATAGGCTGATTGGATTAACTTTATTCTCAGAGCAGTTTTATCTGCTTGATCCGATTGGTTCGTTTGTTATCTCGACTGATCTGATCGAAGAGGGGAGACTACTCAGAGCAGAAGGTTATCCGTTCAACCAGTAAACTAGAGGAAAACCAGGACACAAAGCAAGGAAAAAGAGAAATACCAAAATGAAAACATTCGACGAAACAGTAGGACGCAAATAGTTGTAAAAAAAGATTAAGCCAGGTTCCAAAGTTGACTGATCGTCAACCAAACATTCATGTTGAGATTTTTTGGAGATTTCGTCCTGTAGGTCAAGCCAGTCTATGCTGAAAGGCCGGGAACTGTGCAGCTGTTTGATCCTTACTGAAAATCACCAGCAGTGCGCATCTCACGAAACTCCGAAGAGTCTCGAACCCGCGACCTCCCGGCTAGTAGTTTGAACACTTAACCGTTCGGCCACGGGCGGCTGATCAGCAGTGTGATTAGCTCGTATTTAGGCATGATAGATCGCCAGTAATCCTTCATTCACGAGGTCCAAATCACGCGATCACACGTGTTCACTGGCTCCTCGATCAACGACTTCTTGAACGGAAGTTCCGCTCATCCGGTGAAGTTTATTCTTCCACTGACCTACTTATGGATTGTTGGTTGACTTTCCATAAGGCTGATGATTCCCAATAAAGATGAAACAACTGAACAGTGTTTCCCGGCTTTTTATCACAAACTGGCTTCACTTACAGGACGAAATCTCCACGGAAAACTCGAAGCTGCTCACACTACCAACAATCCATACGTACATCAGTGGAAGAACAAACTTCACCCGAAGAGTGAATCTTCCATTTGAGAAGTCGTTGCTCGACGAACCAGTCATCACGTGTGGAAGCGTGATATGGACCCCGTGATTGAAGGATGAGTGGTGCTATAGTCTGTTTAAGTGTGAGTTAATTACACTGCTGATCAGCCACTCATGGCCGAACAGTTAAGTGTTCAAACTACTACCCGGGGCTCGCGGGTTCAAGACTATCCGGAGGTTCATGAAATGCGCACTACTGATGACTTTCAGATGCTATTTGAAAACTACGTAAACGGGAGCATAAGAAGGAGAATTACCCACTGAATGCCGCACTGATGTTGTCACTTTCACTCGAGGAAGATACGTTTGTAATATGGTTACCAATTGGCGAAAAGCCCAAAATCCATATGTCTTATTCTTCAGTTGGGTTGGAGTTATTTCGCTAATACATAACATTTCGTCCGCTTTCTAACTTGACAAGCCTAATTTCGCATTGGCAATTCCATTTGTGTTCAGAAATGTTCCCGATGATCTCTTGAATTCAGTGAAGAAACCTAAATTTGACGCTGCTTGATCAGGAGGCAGAATGACACACCAATATGTGAGCTGGAAGGTAGTGTACGTACTATCAAAGGCGGATTATGGGTTATATCATGACTGACCGCAAATGAGGGGTATCGCGCCTCTCCAGGAAATAGCCGGAAGTGACCAAACAATGACACACTGATGTGCCGATCTACTGCGTCTAGAATTTGGTAAAAACGCATTAACAAAAGCATTTCTCCTGAATTGATCGAGCGAAGATTCCTACATTTCTTTCATTCTTACATTCTTTTTGGCCAAATGAAGTTGGTATTTTGTACCAAACATTTGAATACCTGATATTTTCCTCAGGATAACTCAGATACACTTTTTCAAAACGGTAAAGCATTCTACTATTTCCACTTTTTGATGCTTTCCTTATTTTTTCGCACTGTCTTCCGTTTTCAGATAATAACTTCCCTCTAGTTTTTCCTCTTATTACAACGGACATCTTCTAGAAAAAATTTAGTGATACTCTTCCCACGAAAGGAGCCAGAAGCACCATAATTAGTTCAGCTCGTAAATGAGTATCATTCAACTCAGTGAGCCGGCTCGAATTCGTTGGCACCACATGATCCAAATGGCCGATTTAACAACCTCAGCCATGTAAGTTTGGATACCTCCTCCTGAGGTAATTAGAGAAGACTTCTCTCCAAGACCTCGCAAAGATGAGTGCATTTGCCGAGATGGTCAGCCACATTCCTTGATCAATACGGTTAATCCGTTATCACTTGTCAGAGTCTGCAGGGTTCTAAGACCGACATCAGCGGGACCAACATTAGGTAGACGTCTGCTTTGCTACGGACCTCAGAGCTTAAACATCTGAGATTCCAGACAGGATGATGAGGGCCAAATAAATTAAAGTACTCAGGGTACATAACAGAAAATCAGCTTGCAGTACCCGAGACCGCAAACTCAGTACAGAACAGAGTTAACTCGGGTCCGTCCGTGTAGCCTTTGTCTCGCTGTTTGTTGTACAGGACTACAGGCACACAAGTTTCCATGTTGACTTGACCTAACAAAAGATATTCAACCTGGAATTATTTCTCGTGACTTAGCTTTGCAACCATCTTTCGTGTGATGAATACCGAAAGTTCTCTTTGCTTAAAAATACAGAGTAGCCTTTTAAAAGAAAATTCACTACTACGGACAATTTGGACGTTTGCGGATCACCTTCTAGTGGACTCCAACCCAGGAATGAAACTCTCATAAGGTCTTCCATGCTACAGATTAAACTTGCTTCTAGACCTGCTTCTGTCAGAGGCGTCTCGGAGCAGTAAACTGCTGCATACGTTTACCCATTTATCGATTTCTGTGTTAAATTGACTATTTACGGAGTGTTCCTTGCCTAAGATCCACCCGCCAGGCCCATTTTAATCTCATTCATGTAGTCAGTTGGGAATGCTACGCGGCAAACAAATCCAGTTACACGATAGTAGTTTTACGGTTAGCCTTAGGGAAGATAGGTAGTTCGCGAATTCATACAAAAGAATCTCTGATCTGACGATGCGTCAATTTAGTTGGTCAATGCTAGGCGGACTTCCACACGGATCTCGCTTTACCGCTCGCACTCAGGTGCTGCTACGGCCGAGAAGTCCATCCCACGCACGATTGGCCAAGAATTCGGGACGCTTGCAAGCCCGGCATCAAGCCGAGATCTGATTGGTCGAATGTCTGGACCAAACAGCCAATCATGACCCAGTATTGGCTAAATGCCGGTTGCCACTACCGCATCCAGAACGCGTCAGAACTTCCAGGAAGTTATAGCCACCTACGCTATATATATGAAGCGCTGTACAAGTGTTCCTGACTTCGTTTTGGGCGTTAATTTACCTTGTGCACCCTTGGTGGTTGTTTTAACGTGAACGCTAGCTTGGAGGCTCAGAACGAGAACTAAGCTTAGAAAAATATTGTTACTACATTTTTATCGATTATTGCTTCGCACATCACTACAGTCAAGCCTTCAACCAAAGCTTACCTCATTTCCGCATCATCTTGACAGAGAAAGAAACTAATCTTCGTTTGAACATGTGGTTCATGAGGGACGGCAAATACTCTCTGAAGTGCTTCGGTCTGCAGTCCAGGGGGGAGCCGCGGTAATCGATTCAATAATGGGCCATAGACGAAGAATGCTTGAACAACCTGGGTGGATGCATTACTATGTGACATGAGCCTCAGTGATTACCCGTAGGTCGACTCCATGAATAGGATGCTTTGAAGCGGCCACTTCGTACCAGTGAAACCATCCGGAAGACTGCAGTCTGCAGTAGACGTCTTTCCATCGATTTTTCTTTTCTGTTTTAGTCGTATTAGCTTAAAACAGAATGTACTTACCAACCCAAAGCTTAAGATTCCCTTCTTTGAGAGAATTTGCCATCTTGTTGGTCAAGGTTTTGCAAACACGGTATAATCCTTTTCATTTGTGACAGTTCAGGGCATTTGATATTGCATTGTTCTAATGCTGAAACTGTAGGTATAGCGGTTTTATGGGTGCACGTTTAATTTTTGTTGCCATTGTTGACAACATACAACACCCATATTACACTATCGAAGAAACACGTGATTTTCTTGGAACAGAGATCTTTTAATGAAATGAGGGGAAGGAACATCATTGTGGAAAACGGGATTAAAGCAAGCTGCCTATACCTAAAAACACTCATCTAGACAAGTTGGATGGAAAACGACGGAAAGTGTCACTGATATCGGTTCGTGATCAAATGATGTGGCAACTTCAATCACCCGTCGAACAACGACAAGACCGAACAATTTTTGTCTCCTCTAATGATTCCTAACAGCACGTTTCTTCAGGCCAACGACAAAAAACCTTGGACAAAAACAACTACATTCACTGAACTGACGACAAACACTGTTGGTTGTCAAGCGCTATTATGATCGAAACACTGTGTTCAGAGTCTAGACATCTTCCCAATTCTGCCTCATGAAATGAATAGACTGATCATCTATTCATACTTTAGCTTGAATTAACTGCTAAAATCATCACTATAAATGGCGAAACTCATGGCTGCACTAAAATTTATGTGGGATATACACACGGAAAGAGGTGGACACGAAAATCTCAGAAACGAAATGAGGTCATATTGAAGTGGGTTTATAAAACAAGTGTGTTACCAGACAGGAAATCAACAGAATGGTCTGGTGAAGTCAAACGCGGAAATAAGCGGGAATTCTTAAATCCGGTGCCCTTCCTTGATGGAAGCTGTCATAAAGAATCACGCGGATTTTTTCCATCCTGCTAATCAGATATCTAAAGTTCCTTCCTGATAACAAGACCTATGCACCGAAACGAGGCACATTCTTCGCTGCAAATGATTACACATTCTAAAGCTCTGTTTTACATTGACAGTAGATCACAGTCGCCTAATTCACTGACTGTCTCGCTGCCTTTGAATCCATGCATGAAGCGTCTGTGTGAAAAAATTATTCCTTCGTGTAATGGCCATAATTTCTGCCGTGAAGAGCCTCCGGAAGCCCACTCCGGAAATACTTATTGTCTTCACATTTTTCTTCAACTTACAAGCCTTCAGCTCCATTCCGGTAACAACCAACCACAGTAGCTCACAACAGCAACTCATTCACGTGCTCCAAAATGGACAGGAAATTTGTACCACCTATTCGACACCTCTGTAGGCTTTCACAGCAGGAAGATTTGATCAGACAGGAGCTGTTTTCAGGTAATGTGAGTTAAATGTATTTCCCAGAATCCGAGCATTTGAACAAGCCAATATCTAGACCGACCATGCAGAAACATCATTTTTGTGCGGGAAGTCAGTCACGGGACCAAAGTCTGAACCATCGTTTCCTCGATGACGCTCTACGGTGCCACGGGACTACTTTCTTTTAGGTGAGCTGCAAGTTTTGCAATACCTGTTGCAGTATAACCAAACAGGAGATTCAAACGTACAACTATGTGTCATTTTGGCCATGATGTCCTCCCTACGATTTTTCTCAAGGACCATAGCTTTAGATGGACTGCATAGCACTGAAATTTTAAAGGCTTATCGGCGCAAGAGGGATAGCACTATTCAAAAGCATCGTCACTGTACGTATTATCAGCTTGGGTCGTTCGGAATGATGTTACTTTCTGTTCCCGGTAGTTATTATCAGTACTAATGAGCAACCTCAACCAGTAGCGCAGATGATTACCTCACTATGAATAAGCAAGCAAAAAAGAGTGAATATCTTTGGGGTGAAGCGTCAGACATGTGTATGTTTTATTCATTATTGGATCCAAGTTTTGCTGAAATATAGAAGAGGTGGATGTATTAGGGAAGGACGGATATTTTGAACCAATTTCCATCAGCTCGTGTCACGAGTAGTACTCGAAATGATCTGCCATTGTCTCAAAGAATTACCTTCACCACATACGATGAGTTTGCTCCTGCTGTACTTCAAATATAGTGTGACTCCTAACTCTTCAGTATCGTCTAGGAGAACACGTTTTCGCCACACGTAACGTTCTCCGAATTACCTTCACCACATACGATGAGTTTGGTCCTGCTGTACTCCAAATATATTGTGACTCCTAACTCTTCAGTATGGTCTAGGAGAAAATGTTTTCGCCACACGTAACATTCTCTATTGACCTTACTGAAGTACTCATATGTGATCTGCTGTCATGTTGCTCCTGCTTTGATCTTGTGGCAGAGAGAATTGTACCAGAGTAAGAGGTCAAAAATAGGTATCAAGTAGTGTAACCGAATTGACAATCCGTTAATTATCTCTCTAGGGGAGCTAGCTAAACCCTAATTCCAAACCAACAACAAGGGGACCATGCATAAGCTCCAGTGTATTTGGTGGCAAGACCGCCTTTTAAATCCAACGGATATGCTGATGTTGGATATTTCCTGTTGCTTTGTAGGATCCACTCGGTCGTGCAAAGATTAGAAGTGTACCCTAGATCAAAAGTCGGGTGTTGCTTAGAACAAAACTTGAAATAAATATCACTAAAGCTTTACTGGCTATCTATAACCTCCATATCAATGGCTCACGTAGCTACAAGAAAATGTTCTTCTGTGTGAACGTTTGGGCAGGCTCAGCCTTACTTTCAAAAGACTAAGCTCTATCAACAAACTGAATGGAAAGGTAACGAAAGAAAATAGACAAATGTGGAGTCTATCTTTACTGAGAACATTACTTACTCGCATTCTTTACGTCAAAAATCTGATCGCTGCACAGCAGGAGTGAGCTAGCTGCAGCCTGTTTAGCCAAAAAGTAATGTGAGAGAACCATCCTCCAACACTTTCTCCTCCTCTATCTCCTCCTCATCATCATCATCACTACCATCATCATCATTATAATTTTTATTATTAGCATTATTAGTATTGTTAGCGCCGGGAACACGCGAGATGCGAACGACGGCTCTAAGGTTCCATAAGGCCATAAAAGGCTCTCCGTCCTCAGAGAAGACGATTTGCTGATTTACTTTCGGGAGCAGGACGCCGTCAACAAGAAAGTATCAGCATTCTGTTTGCAATCTTCTCAACACCAGACCAGCACACGGCGACTGACAATCATTAGACGAATACCCATGGCTCAGTCGGACAACTGGCAGCATGAATGTCACCGGCATCGATTAGCATTCTTTTCTTACAACGTCTGCAGCCAAGTGCAGGGGGTCAGAATGACTCATTCTGGAAGTCTGACGCAACCAAAAACACCAAAACACTTCGTAATCCATTTCTTTCTGTTCCGTTAAGCTATACGTCATTTACTTCACGGTTCGCATCCTTCTGAAGGTGACGTGGTTAATATTATTGGTCTCAGTTGACGATGGTTCAGTACCCGATTGCTTGGCCACCGCAGTTGTTTGCACCGGATGATTCCCACAACTGAAGTACCTGCTAAAGTTTGGGGGTTCAGAAGTGCATAACTAGAGGTTGTTGAACGGGAGAAATACCTATGAGCATTTTTCCGGACACCTTACTCACCAAAGCATTGCACGGATTTCTTTGACAAAATGTTCAGGACGAATCATTCTAACTTCTCTTGATGAGCCCTGTGCCATCCTAGTTTTCGGTCTCTTTAAAAGTGCAAGTATTGGAAAAATATTCATTTAGTTTGCTACCAGTATTTTTTTATGAAGAAGAGTGCAGGCTAAGATTCTATCATTTTTTCGCGGAATGTGTGTACAGTGAGCCCAAAACTGTTCATACCACACTGCTACCTTCTCTAGTTCCAGCAGAGGCGTTTGCTTTCTTTTGGAGCACGGGTCTTCATCCCACCATTTCTAGATGCACACTTTATTTGACGCTATTAATCATGGCTGACAACTGTATTTCTTTGGTTGCCCTTTTCTGCTTTCCCAAGAAGCACACAACTGATCTTTTGGGAGGAAGGGGCGGAGTGATCCTTCAACTGTTTACAGTCAAACAACGTGAGCCAAGTCCGCTTCTACAACATGCATTGCTTAGCTAAGGGTGACACGCCCGACCCGAACGTCATGTGTCCGAGGTTTAAACATCAACCACGGCCGAGGACGTGCGCTGGTGATTAGCTCTTGTAGGAGAAAAACTCAAGTCCAATACTTTAGCCTTTTGATGTGGACACATTGGAATAAGTGCGTCAGAATAGGATGGAGACTGCTCAAACGAGTGACGTTGGCGTGAATTCTACAAATCCAGAAATAATCTACAACTATCCGTTTTTATTTTTAATTTGTATTGAGCCAGTAGAAACA